TCACATCCTCAATTCCAATGGTCTGGCCAGAAAGAAGAGCCAGCTCCCATCAGGCAAGAGCGCTGTGCCTCCCTCCAGTTTCTAGGCTCTGGCTGAAGCTCAAGGGGATGCCCCGGCCTCTGTGGGTCAGAGGGTAGGCGCTGCACCCCTCTGTTGGACCCTTATCACTAGTACTGGGCCAGGTACACAGTAGGCACTCATAGTTGCTGTCAGATAAATGCACACTGCACCAAAGTGGAGGCAGACTACACGACAGTCGTGACTCGAAGAGACTATTCCAGGGGGTCTGACACCCTTGGCTTAGCAAGACACACAGAAGGACCGATGTTCTCTGGGTCCACGCAGCACCAAGAGCAAAGGGAACATCGCTGGGGACCCTCGGAGACACTGTCTAGACCACAGGATGGGACAGAGGCCTGAAGCTCGGTCTCACGGCTCATGACCTGTGTCTAACAGTCGCCCTGACCCACGTGACAGCATGTCTTTTCCAAATGAGTCACCAAGCAGTTAGAAATGCCTTGCTGATTTTTACCACAAAAATTCACTCTCTGACACTGATTAATTTCATGACCCTCTGGGGGAAGAGAATGTTATCACTCAAAGAAGTTCTCAGGCATCTGTACTTCTGGTAAATATGTGATGAGATGTCACTAAACAACTTCATTAAGTCACTCAGATAAGTTACTTGCTCCATAAGCGATGGAACGATGTCCTTCACCGAAGCTGTACCTTCAGATACGAATCACTCAGCGGTTTAGAATAAGCCGGGAAAACTCCACATAAAGCTGGAGCCACCGGTTCGACACTCTCACGGGGCAAAGGGTGTGTTTCTCCCAACACAAACCACCCCTCACTACTGTTTTTTTACTGCACACAGATAAAGAGGTCCACACGTGCTCTCATTACTGACAAGGTCCTAAAACTAAATGCCAGTCAGTAAATATGCCAGTCAGTAAATATTTGTTAAAATATTAACAAGCAGGGGCGCCTGGGGGGCTCAGTCGGTTAAGTGTCTGCCTTTGGCTCAGGTCGTGATCCCGGCCGGGGTCCTGCTCAGCCGGGAGCCTGCTTCTTCCTCTCCTTCTATGCTCACACGCGCTCGCTCTCTCTCTCCCCCACCCCCCACCATCTCAAATAAATACAATAAAATATTAACAAACAAACCAAATGCTGTTGCTTTAAAATTCACGTAACACAATAAAATAGGTAGAACACCTGAGAAGCTTGAGTCTAAGACAGGCAACCCCTCGAACTCCTCACAAGACTGAAACCCCCACAAGCCTGGGAGGTCCCCACAGGAGGCACAGATGCTGCTGTCGCTGGGTGCACTGGGTTCACAGGCTCCAGGAGTGCGTGACATTCCCAGCGACTCCTGATCAGGGTCCACCTGCCAGGCTGCAGACTCAACAGTTTTCCCTCAGGCTCAGGCTGGTCGGGCTGGGAGCAGGTGCAGGGCAGGTGCCACCCAGCCAGGCTGGTATGGAACCAGGGTGAGAACAAGGTCACCAGTCCCGTGCTACTTCTGTGGGGGCACAGTGGGGGCAGGGGTGGGGGTGGGGAGCACCATAGCTCTGCCCCTTTATGGTGAGAACCTAGGGGACCAACATGGGGGCAGCAGAGTCAGGACTCCAGATCTAGGGGGCGGAAAGGCAGAGCCTGGCAGAAAGGACCAGTGGGCTGTCAGCGGCCCCTGGCCACTCTGATTTCAAATCCAGGCAGGGACGGTCACTTCCGCCTGGTTACGTCTTCTGGTGGTGGGGGGAGCCAGGACGCTACTCTCCATTCTCCAAGGGCTCAGGCCACCATAACGCAGTACCACCCATGGGAGGCTCACAGAGCAGGTACTCCTCACAGCTCCGGAGGCTACGAGCCCAAGATCAGGGTTCCCACTCTACCACCTCATCTACCCCATCCCCACGGGGGTGGGGTTGCCACGTGAACTCTCGGGGGACATACACAGCCTGCAACATCGCTCCAGCTGCGCAGACTCGGGTCAGCTCAGGCAAGGACAGGCCATGGTGGGGTCGGCGCGAGAGGACTTTCACAGCCTGACCAGGTGCATCTGCACCCCACGGATGCCCTGGCGGGAGGATGTGGGGCGGCCACTGAGGGTCCCCGATCCTTCCCGGTGGCCGGCCTGCAGCTCACACGTCCACAGAGGAGCCGCGCTGGACAGGCGACAGAACGACACCCCCACAAGCCTGCGACCTCAGCAGTGCACCTGCCGCCCTCTGCGGGCTGTCCCGCCACGTGGGTGTCCTCCCCGGGGTGGGGGGAGGGAGGCGGCACGCCGTGCTGAGCAGGATGCCCGTACACCCCACCGCATCACAGCAGCAGCTCCCCAGAGCCGGGATGTGCGGACACCACGGCGAGCAGCCAGCGAGGGTCACTGCAGGAGGTCACCCAGGGAGCTAGAAGGAAGGCTGCTGGCCTGTCCGCGAGGGGGGGTCTGGGAAGAACGCAGTGGGGTGCGCAGTGTCTCAGGCGGGAACGGCGTCCCCGTGCATGGCTGCTCAAGCCTCCCTCCGCTCCTGCCTCCCCTTTGGACTCGCGGACAGAAAGAGGCTTCTTCTGACGGCCTCGCTGTCCCGAGCGAACGGCCTTCCCAAGGGGTAAGAGGCTTTCTTCTTTTCCCAGCTGACTGCGTGCTGTCCAGTGAACGAGGTGGCGTGAGGGGCCTACACGGAGCATGGTTTACCACCTCGGGAGAACCTGCCTGGACGCGGACCGAGCTGCCCCCTCGGACTTGGTGCGAAGGGAGAGGGGCGGGGGGAAAGCAGGCAAGCGGGGCGAAGGGGCCCAAACTCCTGTGGCCATCGGCAGCCACGCCATCATAGTCTCGGGGGGCGGCCCCTGGCAGAGGCAACAATGACACACGGCTCCCGAGATCGGAGGTCAGAGCCTGGCGTGGATGACCGGCGACCCTCAGAGGCGGGTAAAACCCGACAAGGACCATGGACTCTCCCCCAGTACAGCGAAGCATGAGGTGTCCTTCCTGCGCCCCACGGGAGCCCGCGGGCTAGGGGGGAAACGGGGCAACAGCAAGGCAGACACCAGGGCAGACGCTCTGCTCCCAAGAAAAATAGCACGCAAAATTCCTGAGTTTCCGGATTCTGCTTACAGACTTGGACAGTCCGTGGGGGTGGAGGCCCACTTTCCTGCCAAGCACGGCGAGAACCAGATAAAATTTTCCTGGTCTTATTTTAGGGTGGGTAAGGCTGTAAACAAGCTCGGCGACCAATCCACAGACAGCCTGTCTAGACCCTTATTTGAAGCAGGTCACCAGGGAGGCAGACATCCCAGATGTCCTGGAAGCATGTGACAAAGAGCTGTAGCGCAGCCAGCACTGGCTCCGGGACAGGGACACTTACCTCACCTTCTAAGTGTTGATGGCGGGACCAGGCAGCCTGCCCCGGAGGCATGAAGTCAGAAAGGGAGCAGCCCTGCTCAGGGGCCGGCAGGGCGAGAGGACATGCTTCCCTCCTCAAGCACAGACGGGCATGGCGCGGGGTCGGGGGTTTGTAGAGGAAAGGGAACGGTGTGTGTCCCCACAGGTAGAGACAGCAAAGTGCAGATGAAATAAAAGAGAGGGGTTCCAGTAGAAAAGGCAAAGAAAGTTCTGAAATACACCTACTGACAATAAAGACCACCAAGATCCCAGGAAACCCTAGTTTAATGGCTAAAATCAGAGGCTCTGGATCCTACTGTCAGGTACAACAGGCCCACTGCTCACTCTGGGGTCCTGCCCCCCCATGCTCACTCTGGGGTCCCATCCTCCCCCATGCTCACTCTGGGGTCCCGTCTCCCCCCCATGCTCACTCTGGGGTCCCATCCCCCCCCATGCTCACTCTGGGGTCCCGTCTCCCCCCCAGCTCACTCTGGGGTCCTGCCCCCTGCCATGCCCACTCTGGGGTCCCGTCTCCCCCCCATGCTCACTCTGGGGTCCCGTCTCCCCCCCATGCTCACTCTGGGGTCCCATCTCCCCCACCCATGCTCACTCTGGGGTCCTGCCCCCTGCCATGCCCACTCTGGGGTCCCGTCTCCCCCCCATGCTCACTCTGGGGTCCCGTCCCCCCCATGCTCACTCTGGGGTCCCACCCAACCCCACCACTTACAGCTGGGCTTCAGTTTCCCAGCTGGGAAATGGAGATAAAATTTGTACCTAACCCTTAGGGGTGTTTTGAGGAATAAATGAACAAATAAATGCATAAAACATGGAAACTTCGTAGAACGGTGCCTGGCCTCTAGAGATCATTCCGTGAACGTCAGAAGATGTTCCTGTCATCATTACTATATTTATGCCACCACCGCCCACACCACGGCGTGACTGAGTCTCCCTCCCCAGCCTGCAACCCACTGTGGCCCAGGCCAAGCCAACCTGGAGGGACAGAGCCATCAGCCTATTTCTCTGACAAGCTGATTAATGACGATTTGACCTTGGGTTAAGGTACCGATGCTCTCCACGTCCCAGTTTACTCCCGGAGGACAATGGCTCTGTAATACCCAGTGCACAGTCTTACTTTTAAGGTAGACACGCTTAGTTTAAAAAGGTGGCTGTCGTCTTCTGGGTCAAGTTTTTCTGCCTTGCACAGATCCTATTCCAGACCAGGACTATCTAAGGGAAACTCTTCCACTATGTGGAAGTTCGGGTGCCTGAGAAATACCTCATTTACCCAGAGATCCCAGCCAGGGAAGACAATGTGGTGGGGGGAATTCTGTCAGAGAATTAACATTCATCTTTAAGGACCAAACTGTTACTTTCTATCACTTTTATGAGAGTCTTTCTAAAACACATAGATACATCTCTGACTTAACAAATGGAATTCTGGCCAATAAATCAAAAAGTTTCATGAAGTCAAAGAACAGTAGCAAGAGGAAAAGAAGGAAGAAGAAAGATCCCACACGCTTCCCTTCCCTTCCTCCCAAAGGAACGAGCTAGCGCATCCATCCTGAGCCCGCAGCCAGGTGGCCTGGAGCTCGAACCAGGGGCGCGCGCTCACCTGCTTCGCAGCTGCCTGGCTTGGAGGTAAGGAGCCCCGCGTCAGCGCCGGCGGGCTCCCGGGGCCGCAGAGCTCAGGGAAAGGGTTGGGGATGGCCGGCAGAGACGAGGTTCTGAGCTGCTGGTCTTCTTCCTGCAGGCGTCTGGGAAGAGAGACACAACCGCTCGTTAAAAGTTTGCGGTCACCTCCCGACGCGATCCAGCAATCCCACGTCTGGAGATGTGCCCCGAAAAACTAAAGAGGGGCTCAAATAGATAACCTGGATCCCGGGGTCACAGCAGGCTGCATCGCAAAAGTCCAACCCAAGTGCGCATGGATGCATGAACAGACACACAAACGTGGTCCATCCACACAAGGGGACATGGTTCGGCCTCCCGAGGACACGGTGCTGGGTGACAGACCTTGTGAGAGTCCACCTCTCTGAGGCACCTGGGGTTGCCGAGCTCCTAGCTAGGACAATGGTCACTGCCGGAGACTGGGGCGAGGGGAGTGGGGAGCTTCTGGGTCATGGGTAGAGGTTTTCTGCAAGCTGAGCCAGTCCTAGAGATACATACAGGACACCGTCTAAGTATACACAACACTAGGCACTCGTTCACTTCGACACAGCGGAGATGGTCAATTTTACGTCATGTGTATGATACAGGGACGAAAAGTCTTGTTTTTTTTTTTTGTTTTTTTTGTTTTTTTTTCAAAGCTCCCATTCTCAGATTCAAAAGGGTCCAGATTCCCTCACTCATTAAACATCCGGGGGCGAGAAGCACCCTGAGCGCGCTTACATGGCAAACGATGCTCCGCACAGGGCCCGTACCAGGTGTTCTCTCCAAACACGGATGTGTGAAGAGGTTTTGTAAGAGCATTTTCAGGGGACTCACTATCCCCAGTGCCCTTGAAGCGATCACTTCTCCAAACACATAAAAGCAGAAGAGGCTTCGCGTGCCCTCATCTGCATCGTGGAATGAATGCTTGTTTCTACAACAAGGTGGTTGATCGCTGAGTGCGCTGGAGCTAAGTGCTCCGTGTCGCTACCTCCCCAGAGCACAAAAGCCCGTGTTTGCGTGTCCTCAGAAACACCCCGCAGCACCCACTTCGCAGCGCTGAGGGCCAACAGAGAGCGTGCACCACGCTGCCCACTTCTGGGGCATTTCCTGCCAAGAATGCAAAATCCACTTGTCCTACAACTAAGCCAAACACACCCAGTGAGATGAATCAGATGCAATTACAAAAACAACAAAAGAATCAAGTTCAAAGTCAAAGCAGAGACAACTGCAAAGCGCCCCTCTGCTTCCTGTCCCCAGGGCTCTGCTGGTGGCCTCCTATCTACACTGCTAGGCTCTCCTGGGGGCGGAGGGCACTGCTGCCCAGTGTTCGGACGCCCACCCACAGGAAGGGAGCACAGCCTGAGTGACTGCTCAGCATTCCTGGTGTCTGTGGACACTATGCCTCAGAAAGCCCTTGCACTGACTGGACCTTCCAAGAATTTCTGAACTCCTTTGACAGTTCAACTAAATTAATGATTAATCGCTTTCTTGGGAGTTTTGCCACGAGAGAAATGTTCTGTGATCACTTTACAGGTTCTCTGTTTACTGACTGATCCTGACGCCGGAGGGGCCTGTCCGGCCATTTCCCTGGGGACCAGGACGCGCCCACGTACGGCGCGCCCGCTCCCACGGCAGGAAGGAGGTCCGTGCTGGGGTGCAGAACGGCTCTTCTCTAGTGGCTCGATAAACATACCAGAATGTGGATGTGCGCGGTTAAGAAACGCCACTCTTCCCATACGAGCCTCTGTCATGGCCAAGTGTCTGGCCGACAGGCGGTCCCTTGTCCCAGAGAGCCAGAGAGGCGGAGATGTGGCCAGGCCCGCTGTGACTATATTCCAGCCCCAAGACGACCCCCAGCCAGCGACTAACCTGAAGCACTAGTGTTTTACGATCTACAAGATGCCAACATTCTGATGTCCTAGATGTTAGCAGAAGCTTCTCTTAACAGGCTGTTGTGAAAAATATTAAAAACCGTGTTGTTTGGGGCAGTGAGACTATCCTATGTGATAGTATCAGCATGGATTCGTGTCATTACGCGTTTGTCCACACCCACAGGACGTACGACACCGACAGTGGGCTTTGGGTGCCGACGTGGCCTTGCGGGCTTGTCAAACGTTGTACCAAACGTACCACCTGGTGGGGGATGTGGATAGTGCAGGAGGCCGAGCGTGTGCGCACGGGGAGTATGGGAAATATTCTAAATTTCTCTCAAGCGTGCTATGATTCTAAAACTCGTCTTTCAAAAATAAGTCCTTATTAAAAAGAAAACAACCCAGACGTTATGCTCGGTGAACATGGATTCCCTTCTGCTGAAACAGCCAGAACAGGTAAATCCGCAGCGACAGAAATGCAGGTGGGTGGCTGCCGGGGCCGTGCGAAGGGGCAGCGTGGACACACTGCGGAATGGGTAGGGGCTTTCCTCTGGAGGGGTGGGAACCTTCTGGAACTAGGTAGAGGTGGTGGGAACACAACCCCGAAAGAGTACTAAAAATGCCTGAATTGTACGCTGGAAGTGGTTAATTGTATGTTACGTGAGTTTCAAGTCAGTAAATTATTCTTAAAAATTAAAAGGAAAAAAAAAAAAAAGAGTCCCGCGTCGGCTTTATAGCAGTTCACGAATACCGTCCGAGGCAAAACTAAGGGACATTACACGGAGCTGGAGACAGTCCCTGTTCGGGAGGCTGCGTCCCTCCACTGTTACAAACCGAGACGTGGAAGGGGGTGAAGGTGCAGGAACATCGGGGTCGCAGAACGGCAGGCCTGTGCTCTGCCGTGTGCCACAAGATCAGGATCGGACCCAATGGTAGCCTCTTCCAGGAAGCCCTCTCTGCCTTCCCCAGCTTCTACTCTGCACCTGTCTCCATCGGCGCTCCACACCCCACTCCGTGGGTCTCCCACACAGCACTGGGCCCAGTGGGTCCTGAGCTCCTCAGGGCATCTCAGGCTGGGTCTGCATCCGGACTACCCACTCACCAGATGTGAGCCAGTCACTACCCCCAGGGCCTCAGTTTTGTCACCTGGGCATTGAGGGCCACCACACCACCCACCTCGAGGGCCATGGTGGCCATCGTACCTGCTAACAAATGAGGACTCAACAGAGACTATGCAGAGGAAGTGCTCAGCACACAAGGGAAGTGCTCAACATAAGGCCTCCCTTACAAAATAAATCTCTGTGTGTCCCATATCGGTCACCCCATTTTTTAAGTGCACTTGAAGGTAAGAAACAATGCTACTCACAGAAGAGAAGTGAGAAGAGACGAGGCCTGAGGCGCAGCGTCCACGCTGCAGCAGGGAGAGTGTCTGGTGCACGCCCGCCCCATGCACCCCCCGTGGGACTTAGTACGGGCAGCCCCACAGCGGAGGGCTGAATTTGGCCCGAACTTGAGGCTCAAGGGCTCCAGGCAACGCACTGGCCCGGGCCTTCTTGTCATCCTCTGCCCTGACTCAGCTCTGGGCACGGTCGCCGTGCGGGCTGTGTCCCTGTCTTCCCAAGGGTCTCCCACGCAAGGCTTCCCTGGACGCGTGACTGACAGACCCCAGGCCCAGAGAAGCGCCCGGGAGAAAAGAGTGTCTCCTTCCAGACTGAGCTCCGCGGGGGCCAAGAACACAGGGGTGATGCTCCAGAAAGCAGAGTTGGGGGAAACACTAGGAGGGGGGAGGTAGGGAAAGGCCAGGAGCCCAGAGGCAGGCGACCACCCCTGCAGACGGCTCTGTGCTTATTCTGCCTCCTGGGACAAAGCCGGCTACCTTGGGCAAGAGGGTTACCTGCCTGCAGAACACTGGGGATGTCAGACCAGAAAGAGCCTTATAGAAGTTTCTGGAAGCAAAAAGGACCCCCCCCCCCAACCCCAAGGAAAGGAAGCGAGATTCCCCAGAAGATGCAGTGCTGAGCAAGAACAGCCATGGGAACCCCAGGCTGACTGAGGCCCAAGATGGAGGGCACCACCGGCCTCACACTAGAAAGCCCAGGAAGGCAGGGAGGCGGGGAGGCCTCGGTCCCTCACCCCCTCCCATCTCTCCATCCTCTTCTGAAAACCGTCAGGGCCCGCAGGGACCGGGCGGCGGCCACAGCGAGCTGCTCAGCTCGATTTCACAAACCTCTCCCCGCAGGAGGCCCACGATGCCTTCAGCACCCCTGTCTGCCCACTTCCCAGGCACTCGAGACGTGCTCCACACTCCGTCCCTCCCCCCAAGAATTCAGGTGCTCACGACTCCCGTCCGTCCCCCTCTTTATCGGGGTCAGGACACCACCATCTCTAGGCTGAAACAGCCTCCAGGTCGGCCGTGCCCTATCCCGCCACCCCCCGGACACCAGGCTGCCAGAATGATCTGCCAAAACCCAAACCCAATCTCCTGGCTCACCTCTTCAGATCCTTCCCCGTCTCTCCCCTAGAATGGCTCACAAAGGCCTTCGGGATGTGGCCCTGACCTGTCGGGGTCATCTTTTGTTTACACCCTTCCCCTGAGGTGTGATCAACATGTAACGTGTACGACCCATCACCAGTCTCTCTTGCCCGACACACCCACAAGCTGCCAACGCCCCGACCCCGCTCTCTATGGTGATCGTTGAGGCTCCTCCCCCTCAGCAAGGTTCTCGGTCTACACCACAGCACTGGGACTTGAGGACTCTGCGCTGCGCGAGATCCCTAGGATTTGCTCACCCTGTAGAACCAACACTTGGGACGCTCTGTCCCCTATTTCCTGGCCCCCTTCCCTTGGCCCCTGGCCTCCACAACTCCCACTCTCTGCTTCTCAGAGTCTGACCACCTCAGATGCGTCCCCGACGTGCAATCGCGTGGCATTTGACTTTCTGTGGCAAGCTTGGTTACTTAGCATGCTGTCCGTGTCACCCATCAGCAGATGAATGGAAAAACGCAGTATGTACAATGGCATATCGTTCCGCCATAAAGACGGAGGAAATCTGGCCACTTTCGACAACAGGGATGTTTCCACTCACAAAATCTCCCTCTCCCCCCAGCTCCAACTCACCCCTCGACACCCATATCAGAGATGTGCCACCTGCAAGGAATCCCACCCCCCTCCGCTTCCAGAAGCCCCTCCCGCCAGCCCCGGAATTTCCGGTGAACCCCCTGGGGGATGCCCCTCCTCCAGGCCCCCAGAACCCACTTCGCGCAGTAAGGCCCTGGAGCCCTCCACGGAACGCCTTGGGTCACTGCTTCATTACTTCCAGCGCATTCTCTCACGGGGACTTCCTTCCCCCCGGGCACCAAGCAGGTGCTCAAGGGACGTTGTCAGAGCTGACCCAGACACCACGTGCAAGCCCGTGGGGCCGAGCTGGACCGAGCAGAGAGCGATGCTGTGTCTCCACCCCCAGACTCGAGCCCCTCCAGGCCCGGGGTCCCACCTGACGGCGAGGATGTGCACAGGCTGGGAACGCTGCGCCTGCAGGGATCTTGTTCCCGAGGGTGGCGGCTGGCTGCGGGCGTGCTGGCCGTTCTGCAGCAGGGGCACCGTCTCCGACTGCATGCTACAGGCTGGGTACAAACTCTCCAGCGACGCGTTCACGTCGTTCACCAGGGCTTCCAGGTCTACGTCATCCTCTGCGCATGCGTGGCAACAGTGGGAAAACAGAACAGAGCAGAACTTTAGCGGCAGCGAGGGGGGAGGGGCGGGAGCAGCACATGGGCATCTTGGGGATCAGGTCCCCAAACTCGCAACAGTTCACACGACCCGGTGAAGGAGGGGGCGCATAACTGAAAGTATACATCCCATAAGGAACCGCACGTAGTACATGTATCAGTATTTGCTGATGCTGCACAGGCAACTCGGTAACTTCGGGCCCGCCGCATTTCCACGGTCGGCACAGACAGGACACAGCTTTGGAGCCCCTGCCTAGCTCTTGGACCCCTCGGCGTGGAGGGGCCACACACGGCCCGGGCCACACAGCACGATGACCCCACTGCGCTGGCCTCAGTTGGCCAGACCACAGCAGGTGGACGTCAAGCCCTAACTAGATGAATCGGGACTTCTCCCTTCCCAGAAATTCTAAAAGTGAACGAGGGAGCGGCACCCGACACGGACAGAGGCCTCGGCCTGCTCAGGGCTCCAGGAGGGCCAAGCCACGCGGAAGGGCTCACCGGGGGAGGCTGATGGAACGTGCACCTGCTGACCTCCAGGTGCCCTCCTCTGCTTCTGACTGGCCTGAGAGCAGGGGAGGCCCGACGCAGATGCAGAGAATGTCAGGGGGAAGGGACAGAAAACAGAGGAGATGTGCCCTAGAGACTCTGATGGGAACTTGGACGTTATAAGCTTGGCCAGGATGCAGATATTTGGTCAAACAGGATTCTAGATGTTTCTGTGAAGGTTTTTTTTTTTTTTTTTTTTAAGATTTTTTTATTTGGAGAGAGAGAGTGTGAGCACACAGTGGGGAGGGGTAGGGAGAGTCTTAAGCAGACTTCTGCTGAGCACAGAGCTGGATGTGGGGCTTGATCTTGAGGCCCTGAGATGGTGAGCTGAGTGGAAACCGCAGTCAGATGCTTAACTGCCTGTACCACCCAGGCGCCCCTCTGTGAAGTATTTTTTTAGATGAGGCCGCCTGGGTGGCTCAGTCGTTAAGTGTCTGCCTTCGGCTCAGGTCATGATCCCAGGGTCCTGGGATCGAATCCCACATTGGGCTCCCTGCTCTGCGGAAAGCCTGCTTCTCCCTCTCCCGCTCCCCCTGCTTGTGTTCCTGCTGTCGCTATCTCTCTGTCAAATAAATAAAAATCTTAAAAAAAAAAAAAGAAACATTTAAATCAAAAGACTCTGAGTAAGACAGATTGCCCTCCATAATGTGGGTGGGCCTTGTCCGATCAGTTGAAGGCATTTAAAAAAACACCCTTCCCCTGAGGTGTGATCAACATGTAACGTGTACGACCCATCACCAGTCTCTCTTGCCCGACACACCCACAAGCTGCCAACGCCCCGAC